AGCTCATTACACATATACACCTGAAAGTAGACATGCACAGAAAAAGACAGCTAATTGGGGACAAGCACGAAGGACAGCCTTACGTAAAGATATCATCAGAATGATTGACAATTAGGAGGACCACTTATTTTGATGATCCACTTGGAAAAACAAAATCCTCCACTACATCTTTAAATGTAAAAAACAAAATGATTATTTTGTGCAGGAAAAACCTCCAAATTCTATTATGAGGTCAATATAATCTGAGGAAAGACCTTATGTGAAAACGTCAAAATTTGCACTTTTTTCACTTTGCTCCAGGGAAATATTAGTGCAAGCTGCTAGAGTTAAATGTCAGCATTTTGAAACTTATTGAGGTGGGGTTACTTTTTCCCATCCTAGGTTCATTAAAAAAATGTCACCTTGGTGCTTGGGGCAAGGTGTTTTTTTTTTTTTTTTTTACCTGAAAAGTCATTAGCATATAGCAAAAAAAACACGTTTAAACACATCTTAAACTGAGCGACAGCCACACCATGCTGCTTAATGAGTACAAGACTGCAGGTTTATGGGAAATCTGGGCTGCAGGGGATGAAACAAGATGACCCATGTATCTGGAAATGAAATAGAAATGATTTAGTGCCATGCATTCATACCTCTTTTGTGTTTCATCATGTGACAGAAGTGCCCCCCCCCTTAAATTTTTATTAATTTTACAAATAAAACTCTAAACCACCAGCCCCCACTTAAAAAACATAGCATTGATGGCAGTGTGCTGGCCATCTCTAAGCTGCCTTTTATTTGTAAACTCTTAGAAAGTTGTTTACACTCAGCTTAAGTCGTTTTTAGATGAACATGTTGTCCTGGAGACGTTTCAGTCTGCTTGTAAATGTAGGCTTAGCAATGAATCAGCTTTGTTAAGAGTTTTTAACGACATCCTCTTGGCAAATGACTCTGGTGACCATGTTATTGTTGTTCTGTTAGAATTGACAGCAGCCTTTGGTACTGTGGACCACAACACTCTAATCTCTCGGGGAAACCAGCTTGTTGGCATTCGTGGTAGTGCACTGGACTGGTTTAAGTCTTATCTTTCCAATAGAAGTGTGAGCGTCAGCTTTGGGAACTACAAATCTAGCTCTGCTCCTCTTTCTTATGGGGTTCTACAGGGTTTAGTGATAGGATCCCTTCTCTTCTCGTTGTACTTCCTGCCTGTTCGGTCGATTCTAAAAAGACACGGCATCTCTAATCATTTTTATGCTGATGATAGTCAGATATATGTGCCTATTAAAAAGAAAAATGCCTTCTCCCTTGCACTGCTACTGGCATGCTTTAAGGACATTAAAGCAGGGGTCTCAAACTCAATTTACTTGGGGGCCACGGGAGGCAGAGTCGGGGTGAGGCTGGGCCGCATCAGGTTTCCACAAGAAAACCTTTAAAAAATACTAATCTTCTCTTATTTTTATTTTTTAACACAAAATAAGATGAAAAAAATAAACAAATAAGGAGAAAATAAAGAAATTAAAAAGAAAATCAATCAATCAGTAATAAGTAAATAAAATAATAATTATTATAATAATTAGGATTCAAATCTCTGTATTAACAGTTCTTTAAGCTTCTTCTGAACACGGATTGTCCTGAACATAAGTGGAACATTGAAGAACATGAACTGTTCTTCTGAACATGGCCTCTCTTGCCTACATCTTGCTGCTAGAGACCTGGCAGCGCTTCCTCTCACATAGCTGAGCCACATTTGGCTTGAGGGAGGAAGCAGTTGAGACCCTCAATATGGCTTGAAGATGATCATCAATCAGTCTGGACCTGTACTTGGACTTATTGAAGTTCAAGGTGGAAAAGAGCTTTTGGTCGGGACCAGGTTTGATGAATGAAACCTCGAGTCTTTGTCTCTGCCCTCTTCCACGGGCACAGACGGGAAATCACTCCCTCTTTCACTCGATCAGCGGGCCAGTTTTGCCGTAGAATTCCGCCGTCTTTGATTTAAAAAAATATTTTTCATCACTTTTCAATATTATTATTATTATTATCATATAACATGGCATGTCCTTTTGATGAGGATCCCATTGATAAAAGTGCAGCATTAATCCACAGAGAACTGAATATCGCGAGCGGATCATTAGACCCCGCGTAGATGAATTATATCCCGATTCCTGACAGCAGCAATTAAAAACCTTTTTTTGGAACTGTTGTGAACGCAGCGAGCTGGGACGAATGTCCGCGTGTGTCCAATAGAAAGGAGGCAGCCAGCCAGGAACGGACAAAAACGCTCCATAGCAACGCTGCTGTAACTTTCACTCACTGAGAAATGTTTCTGTTGAACAGGGGAAAATATGATTTATGTTTTTTTTTCATTTAAATGTTAGTTTTATGCTTTGCATGTTTGGAGTGGAAAATATGATTTGTTTTTCTCTGTATTTTCTTCTTGAGCTCTGCATGTTTTGATGTTTGTTTATATGATTGTTTTCCTTTATTTTAGACTTTTGAATTTTTCCTGTATGTTGGGGTGTTTTGGTTTGTTTTTACCTTGTGACAATCCATGCGCACTGGACTGAAGTGGTTGTCTGGGGAGGCGGAGTGCATTAATTGCGCTGTGTAATTGCTGCGCTCAGGTGTGAGCAGCCCTGGGCTGATTAAAGCCCACATATAAGGAGTCTGAATGAATGGAGGAGCAGGAACTGAATCTGCAGGTGACAGAGACGGACGCGCTGCCGGGGGAGAGGCAGGCGGGATCCATGCGCCAGGCACATCACCGGAGGGTGCACAGATGGCCCAGTAAGGAGTATTAGAGCACAGGAGGAACCACTGCCCGCGCCTGTAAGTAGCGCTTCCCCTCGCTTAAAGCATAAACGGGAACATATTTTCCGACGGGGTTTTGGCGCGTGGATGCTGGCGTTCTCCCTGCTTCCCTTTTAGCTGGATCGGCCTGGAAAGGGCTGTGGCACACCAGAGAGTGGAACAGTGCTGGAGGCTGCAGAGTCAGCTGTGGATCAGTCAGAGGGCGCGCTGCAGACAGATCGCCCGCACCAGAAGAAGCATGACAAGCGGAGTCCAACTTCCAGCCTGTGATTTTTAAGTAAAACTCTTGAATTTTAGGTTTTATCAGGAAAAAGAAAAGGACTGTTTTATCATGCCACTTTTGCGGTGGCTTTTTGTATAAATAAAACACTTGAACTTAAGTGCTTCACGGTTTGGGTCTTTGAGTTGCTTGCTCCCCCTTGTGTCAACGAGTGAGTGTGGGGCCATACTGGCCACATTTCTCTGCTTGCATCAAGCCGATGTCCCACCCTCAAGAGCCATACACCACTGTGATTGGCCGGTTTGTTCAGCTCCGCACAAAACTCTGTACACTGCCGTTCATATCAAACTCGCGGGCCGCACTAACATTAAACTTAAATAACAAGGCGGGGGGCCACAGACTCGTGGCCCGCGGGCCGCGAGTTTGAGACCGATGCATTAAAGCCTGGTTGGCTCTTTTTATATCTGGAGTCATGGTGTTTGGGCCCAGTGACTTTTGTGAATCCCCCTCTCCCCCATTGACTTTTGTGTTTTCACTCTTTTTTTTTCAAAGCCTGTCGTCTCAAATTTGGGTTTAAGATGGACAGAGATTTTGAATTGGATCGGAGCTGGCCAAGGTCAAACCTTTTCTGCACAGCAGCACTTTAAAACCGTAATCCATGCCTTTTTTTTTTTTTTTTACATCTCGGCTGGACTACTATAACGCACTTTATATTGGGCTGAGCCAGTCCTCCCTCGCACGTCTCCAGTTGGTGCAAAATGCAGCCACACGGCTTTTAACCGGAGTATGTAGGAGGGAGCACATAACTCCCGTCCTGGCCTCCCTCCATTGGCTGCCCATGCATTTTAGAGTTAATTTTAAGATTTCTATTTATTTTTTTTCCCTACATCTTTACATGTCTTGGCCCCTCCTGACCTCTCTGAGTTTCTCCACCCCTATGCTCCCACTCTGTGCCTCAGGTCAGCTAAATTGTGGAACGAGCTCCCCCTCTTTATTAGACAATCCTCCTCACCATATATTTTTAAAACTCGTCTTAAATCTGTTTTTATTCTTTGGATTTTAACACGGCTGTTTTTTATGTATTTTAATTAATTGTTTTATTTTATTTGTTTTATTCCGTTAAACTTCCATGTTTGTTTTATACAATTTTAACTTTACCTGATATGTACAGCACTTTGTGGCAGCTGTGGTTGTTTTAAAGGGCTTTATAAATAAACCACCAACCATCTTATGCTCAAATATATATTTATATCTCCTTTATGGAAGAATAACAAGCAGAAAGCTTGGGAACAAAAGGAGTTTGTGGTAGAAGGTTAACAGCGTATCCGTTTCCCTGATCACACCACCTCAGTAGAACATTGTGGTGGCAGCATCATTATTTCTTCAGCAGGGAAAGAGAAACAGATCAGGATTAATAAGGAAGGTGGATGCAACAAGATGCAGGAGAGATCTGTT